TATTAAGGATGCTAAGTGAGCGCAGTAAACCTAAACTTGGAATTTCATCGTACAAATTGAAACTTAAATCCAAAACCTGCAACTTGCTTAAGTTTAGTACCTCGTGGAATCCTCGTATGTTGTTTGAACCTAAGCTCAGATTCTGTAGTTCTCGGAATGGAAGAAACAGTAATGAAGTATTTAGGAAAATAGGATTATCAGTATTCAGCCTAATATCGGCAAGGGAGAGTTGGGTGACATGGTGATTGGATAGGTCACACTTAACCCTTTCCCACATGCAGCAATCCGTTTCTTTTCCATCACCCCAAGAAGAAAGGGCAGTGGTTCCATTAAAGGCATCTCTTAGTCTCAAAAGTGCTCTTCTTTCTTCTTCATCACACCCAACACTTCCATCACCACCCTGCACCTGAATTAGTACCACAGAGGTTAACAATATCCATAAACAAAACACACAAGGATTCTCCATACAAATTATTATAGAAATAATAATAATAACTACAACTACTACAAGCTAAGACCGAATACTATATATATATTAGTGGACTTAAGGATGTATATGTAAATATATATGCTAACAATAACACCAACCCATCAATGCACAATTAGTTGGAAAATTCAAAGTTGTCATGTTTCTCTTTCTTTGATTTTTCTTTGATGTTGACAAATGAAAATAGCGGAAATTAATTCCAATAGTTTAAAACACTTTGTAAGCTCATTCAACTTTGAAATTATAGTTTTACTTTACTAGTGAGCTAGAGTGGTACTTCTAAGCTTGCTAGCTATTTTATTTACCAGCAGTGGCGGGATATTGGACTCTTCTATATATGTCTGCATCAAATTTAAATTAGTCTAACATTGAAAAAAAAAAAAAAAAAAAGAGTGAACATTCAATTATTTAAAGTCCTAATTGAAATCACATTCAATATTCCAAAACAATTACTCCGTATTTCTTAGTTTCCGTTTTGGTTTGTTTGAAAAGAAAAGTTATGCCAAGCACCTTGGAGTCAGATGATAAATAGTGATCTCTTTTATGTGGGAGGTCATGAGATCGAGCCTAGTAGCATTCAAAAAGTTATAAATTAAGCGCTTAACATTTTGCTCTTTAATTGGGCTGGCTCAATGCGAACAGAAATTAGTTTGAGTATAGTATGAGCTTAATGGTATCTCCTATAATTAAGATATACTCATGAGTGAATACCAATGCGAACAGATGATAAATAGAAATTAGTGAATGCGCAACTTTATTTTCTTCTACTTATGTACTAGTTACCAATTGTTAGGATACCACTACGACAAAAATTATATATAATTAGTAGAGAATGTGCAAATTTATTTTGCTTATACTTTTTTTTTTTTTTTTTTTTTTGAAAACCAAACTTTTCCATAAAAATCAACGAGTTATTTTGCTTATACTTAATCAACAATTGACTTAGTACAGAGTATTACTTATGTAAATTTTCTTTTGTTACATAAGACTTATAAATTAAGCTGTTGGAACTAGTCAAATATGTCGATTGATTGACTCAGTCAAGTCTAATAACATTAATGATTTTCAACGACGGACAAACTAATTTGTTGCCCCACACTCCACAATTCCACATCATAGCCAGTTTTTTCCAACAGTATGATTGTGACTCTTGTTGAGTTCAATGTTTACATGGTTTACTCGTTTAGTGTTATTAATTATTAGATAAGTTTTTTTGTATAAAATAATGAAATTTACAATTGCTCTGTTTGGCAAACCTAGCTGAAAAGCTATAAGCTAGGAGCTGATAGCTAAAAAGGAGCTGAAAGCTGAAAAATTATAAGCTCGGAGTTGAAAATTGAAGAGCTGTTAAGCTAGCTGTTATGATTGAAAGTGTTTGGTAAAATTAGCTTTTTGATAAGCTGATAAATTTAAAAAGACTAAAAAGGACATCTTCATAAAATTTAAATTAGTTTGTTTACATATTAAAATTTAACATTTCGTCTTCCAAAAAAAGTAAACACTTTTTAAAATAAAACTATTAGCATGATCATGATCTAGCATCCCATAATGAAGTAGCAATATTGTTGCGAATCTCATTCATCTCCATAGAGGTGTGACTTAAATTTTCGTTGATGAAGATATTACTACTTGAATCTTGAAGTTCATCGGGCGGTCTGTAATTTGGATGCTGCTCAAGCACATTAAACATCATGTCACTTGTGAATTCTTCCGAATATAATTATGTAGTGCAAATGTGGCCATAATAACATCAATTTAGGTCTCCTCACTAAATTGCGGCATTTTAGCAAGTATCTTCCATCTCTTATTCAATACTCCAAACGATCTCTCAATACAACTTCGAAGAGAAAAATGTGCACGATTGAATGCTTCATGAGCATTAGTTGGCAGCTCTTGTTCAAATTGAAATTGAAGCCATATTGCTAATTTAACAACAACAACAACAACAACAACTAAAAACAAGAAGAAGAAGAATAAGAAGAAGAAGAAGAAGAAGAAGAAGAAGCTAAAATTTCAACATAATTGTTTAGCAGGAAACAAGACTAAGGAAGGGATTGACGTGAAAGTTGGGATAGGGGAAGAGAAAGAGTTTTAATTCATAAGGTTAAAATATGTCATTACTTTAAAATAATAAGGGTAAAAATGAAAAAAAAAAAAAAAAGTTAGGAAGCTAGTAGCTTATTTTGAAACGTTACCTAAAGTAGTGTTCCAAAATAAACTCTTATTTTAAGCTAGGAGCTTATTTTGGGAACATTACCAAACAGAGCTTATAGCTTATTAGTAGCTTAAAATAAGCTATAAGCTCCTAGCTTAGCGTTGCCAAACAAAGCCAATATATTTTTTTTTATCAGAGATAATTCAATTTTATGTTTTAAATTTATAAGTGTTAGTTAACTTTTAGTTTTTTTTTTTTTGTTTCAATTTTTTTTTTTTTTGGGTCATAGTATTATTATGGTATGACCATTTTCGGTCATCTGTCAACCAAACTGTTTAAATGACCTTAAATACAGAGGTCTTTAGTCTATTTAGTTCTAAGTGTTAAAGTCATTTTTTTTTTTTGGGTTCTAAATTTATATATCATTTCATTTTTAGTCTCTTTTTTTTTTTTAAACATCCCTTTTGTTCCTAATATTTTTGTGACATGATCATTTTTGGTCATTCATCAACAAATATATTTAAATGACATTGAGAATGCCATTATTAACCTCAAAACCCTTCATTTTTTTTATTTTTTTTTGGGTGATAGAACCACAAGTCTTGTAGATTTTATAAGAAGACTTAAGGTTTGACACAACTCTCAGAACTATTTTTCTCATATAAAAGTTGGAAAATTCAAAATTGTCATGTTTCTTTTTAATTTCTTTGATTTTTCTTTGAGGTTGACAAATGAAAGTAGCGGAGAGCTGGAAATTCATTCCAATAGTTCTCTTTCTTTGATTTTTCTTTGAGGTTGACAAATAAAAGTATCGGAAATTCATTCCAATAGTTTAAAACAGTTTGTAAGCTCATTCCAACTTTAAAATTGATTTACTTTACTAGTGAGATCGAGTGGTACTTCTAACTTAAGTCCCCGTTAGTGTACGACACTGTTAAGTTGGAGTAAATATGTAATTTAGTTGTTTTTTCCCTTCCTCGATTCGAAGTACCAGCAATGGACAGCAGTGAGGAACTACAAGTCCGTTACGGGAGGGGCTATATGTGCACCATTTTGATAATTGAGGGGCAACATTTACACCACTCATAATTCAGGAGTGACATTGATAATTGGCATATTATAGAGGGACATTTTTTACAATTTTCCCTATATATATATATATATATATATATATATATATATATATATATATATATATATATATATATATATATATATATATAGTGTTGCTATTTTTCACATTAGAAATAAAAGTGTTTGAAGTAGTGAAACGTGTTGATTGATTAGGCTTTCAAAGATGAAATTGTTTGATGATGAGTAGGTGTAGGTCAAACATATTCACTGTTGTGAATCTTTTTTAACTGTTATTAAGAATTACTAGGAATGGTTGACTGATGCTGGTGAATATAATATAGAAATAATGGTTAAATAGGTCACTGAACTGTACATCAAAGTGCAATTAGACCATTCAACTCAAAAATAATGTAATTGGGTCCTTAAACTACACAAAATCATGTAATTAGGTCTAAAATGGCCCGTTGACCTGAAATTGTGCTGACGTGACGGTTACCAATTTTAAAAATAAATTTTAAATAAAATAATTAATTAAAATTAAAAAAAATAAAACTAGAACTGCTGGAGACGAAGAGCTTCGTCTCCCTAGCCATGGAGGCGAAGGTCTTCGTCTCCATGGCCGGAGACGAAGGGATGGTCTCCGGCCATGGAGACAAAGACTGCCGGCAGTTTTAGTTTTAGTTTTTTTTTTTTTCTTTTTTAAATTTAAATTAATTATTTTATTTTAAAATATATTTAAACATTATTTTTAAATTGGTAACCCGCATTTCAGGTAAACAGGTCATTTTAGACTTAATTGCATGATTTTGTGTGGTTCAGGGACCCAATTGCATTGTTTTTGAGTTCAATGGCCTAATTGCACTTTGGTGTGCAGTTCAGTGGCCTATTTGACCCTTATTCCTATAATATATAAAAAGCTACGAATTATTTACACTTAATAGTGCAAGTAATTTACATTTTAATGATAATATTTGACGCAAATAAAACTAACGTTAAGTGCACTTAATATTGTTGCTCGATATACATATTTGTTAAATTTTTAATACATTTTACTTACACTTAAGTGCACCCTATGAAAACTATTACTTACACTTTTAACACAATTTACTTGCACTCCAAAATTTAATTATTTACAAAAATGTCACCTCAATTTTTTTTTTCTAAAAAAAAGTTTCTTCCGTTGGATCTATCCAGATGGACAGTTGCAATGAATCGTATTTCTTTGTTGGGCATGTGTTCTCAATTGATCCGTTTCCCCTCTCTCTATATATGCACGCACACACACATCCTTCATTACCACTAAGATAAAATATAATATTCCATTATCTTCTAATAATAGTTCTCATTATTATTTCTTTAATTAATTTGTATGGCGAATCCTTGTTTGTTTTGTTTATGGTTAATGTTAAGCTTTGTGGTACTTCAGGTGCAGGGTGATGGAAGTGTTGGGTGTGAGGTAGAAGAAAGAAGAGCACTTTTGAGACTAAGAGATGTGTTTAAGTATCTAAACGGAACCACCCCTCTTCCTTCTTGGGATGAAGAAATGGATATGGATTGCTGCAGGTGGGAAAGGATCAGCTGTGATCAATCCAATCACCATATCATACAACTCTCTCTTGGCGATCTTAAAGGACCAAGTTCTAGTTACTTTTTCCTAAATACTTCGCTATTTCTTCCATTCCGAAAACTACAGAATTTGAGTTTAAATTGGAATGGCATAGATGGATTCCATGGAGTACTAAATTTAAGCAAGTTGCAGGTTTTGGATTTAAGTTACAATGAGTTTGATGAAATTCCACGTTTAGATTTACTGCGCTCACTTAAGATCCTTAATATGGAAGGCAACCGGATCCATACGTGGTCTCACTTTGAAGGTTTGTCAAATATTAGAATTGATTCAATTTGTTTTGATTGTCTAATTAACTTTCTTAATATTGTTACCTTTTCTATAGAGCTAACAACTTTGAAACATCTGGAGTTGCTCAATTTTGCTTTCAATGATCTGAGCGGAAAAGTTCCCAATGCCCTTGGATCCTTCACCGCTTTAAAGTTTTTGTCATTCAAATACAATAATCTAAATGGCTCATTGATAGATGGAGGTATTTTATTAATTTTAGTATGTATTTGTACGTGTTAGTTGTGGATTTCCTTTCTTATTGAAACCATGTATGCATCCCAACTTGATTTGCCTTTCCATTTCAGTTCCCAAGCTCTAAACTTATATAAATAAAACATATAAGAAATACATTTTTTTTTTATTAATGATGGAATTAAAATTCTATTTCAATATTTTCTTATTAACTCTTTCTTGTAATTCTGCAGGCTTCTGCAAGTTGAGAAACCTTCAAGAGTTGGGTTTGGAATCCAATAGCTTTGGAGGAAGAATACCTTCATGTCTTGGCAATTTGACATCCCTTCGTTTCCTTAATCTTCGATTCAATTGCTTGACTGGAACACTTCCTTCTACCATTTTTTCTACCCTGAATTTACTTCAATTTCTCTCCCTTTCCCTCAACTACTTTGAAGGTTCTTTCTCATTCAACTCATTATTTGGGAACAATTCCAAACTTGAGTATTTTGAGCTTGAAAACCTTAACAATACCATGATTGTAAACACAGAAAACCCCCCTTGGATGCCTCAATCTCAAATCAAAGTATTTCGATTTCCAAACTGTAAATTAAATGAACCTAGCGGGAATCTACCTAGTTTCCTATTAAAGTAACTTGAGTTGATACTCCTTGACCTTAGCCATACTGGGGTGAAAGAAATATTTCCATCCTGGTTGCTCATCAATAACTCAAATATGGAAGATTTCAACCTTGCAGGCAACTTCTTAACAGGATCTTTTACATACAACCATCAATCAAAGAATGGATATCTCCATTTTTTAGATGTTTCTATGAATCAAATCCAGGGTGTACTTCCACACTCTATAGGTGTTTCATGTCCAAGTCTAGCCATTTTAAACATGTCTATGAATGCAATACAAGGTGGTATTCCTCCCTCTATGGGGAAATTGACAGATTTGATTTCGCTTGACTTGTCAAACAACAATTTGTCAGGAGAACTGCCAGAAGAATTTGTCAAGGGATGTATCAATTTGCAAACTTTGAAGTTAGAAAACAACAATTTGCAAGGTAGAGTTCTTCCTACAAATTCAAACATGAGTAGCCTTAAGTATTTGGGTTTGGCAAACAACCGCTTTTCGGGTGAGCTCTCTCGAGGCCTACTAAATAGCATGTCTTTGAAATTCTTAGATTTGAGCAACAACTCAATCACAGGTGAAATTCCTGACTGGATTGGATCCCTTTCACAACTCCACACGATTGTTGTGTCAAATAATTTTCTACGAGGTCCTATACCAATGAGCCTTTGCAAGGTGAAGGAATTGGGCTTTTTAGACTTGTCTAAGAATAAATTTACGGAGACTATACCTGCTTGTTTGAATGTCTCATCACTGAGATACTTGCATTTGCATGGCAATGAATTTACTGGATTCATGCCAAAAGTTTTGTCCGAAGCTTCTGCACTTGTGACACTAGACATGAGAAACAATAACATATTTGGCAGAATTCCTAATTGGATAAGTTCACTCTCAAATTTGAGGTTTCTTCTCCTAGGAAGAAATCAACTTGAGGGTTCAATCCCTTCCCAACTCTGTGACCTTAAGAATGTTAGTATGCTTGATCTTTCCTCAAACAACCTTTCTTCCTTTTTGCCTTCTTGTCTGCATAAAGTACTGTTTGGGAGCAAAATAACATTTGATGTCACAATTGGGATTAATGAATACAGATGGGTTGTTCGTTATCCTCTTAGATTATACTCGTATGAAAGCCAATTTCAATCCTATTATACAGCTTCAGATGAGGAAGAAAAAGTGGAATTTATAACCAAAAGTAGGTTTGAGTTATACAAAGGAAACATATTGAAGTACATGTCTGGACTTGATCTTTCCTTCAACAATTTTACGGGTCCAATTCCTCATGAGATCGGGTACTTGAGTGATATCCACACTTTGAACTTATCACACAATCACTTCACAGGCTCTATCCCAATTACATTCTCCAACTTAAATCAGATAGAATGTTTGGACTTGTCTCACAATAGATTGAATGACCAAATACCTCAAGACTTGATAGAATTGCACTTTCTATCAGTATTTTCTGTGGCATTCAACAATTTATCAGGGAGAATACCAGACAAGAATCAGTTCTCAACATTCGACAACAGCAGTTATGAAGGTAACCCTTTACTTTGTGGACAACTGTTGGGAGAAAGCTGCAACAACAGCTTTAGCATTGATCTATCTTTAGAGCCAATTATAGAAGAGAATGACCCATTATTCAAAGATACATTTGTGTGGAGTTTTATAGCATCTTATATTATAGCATTTATAGCTTCAATTATTATTTTCTTATGCTGTACTGACTATTCAGAACGGCTACTTATGTATGTTCGGACAAAATTTGTAGTTTTCTCTATCTAATTTGTGTGTAATAAATTTTCTATTCGGTAGTATTTAAAATTTATATACTTTTACATTAAATATCCAGTAATCAATTTCTTATTGGGATTGTGTGTGGTGCACTTTAACCAGGCCTGGGAATTTAGTATTTTGGCTAAACTAGATTGATTAATTGTTTGAATAATTTATTTTAGTCATAGTACTCCACTACTCCATATCTTTAATATAAATTTAGTTTGTATATCATATATTAAAGTCAATTTCATTTATATTTTTTAAATAAGGGAAAGACAATGACGGCACATGTGTGATCATTGTAGATTTATAGTGAATATACAATTGATGTGATTCTTCCACCTCATACCCAATACACTGTAGCTAGTCAATATAACAATTCTTTACTAGTAAGGTTTGAACAGGTCAAGGTAAGAGGGTAAGAAAGTTAATTTTGAATTTTGTGTACTGGAGGGAGTTATTTCCATCATTCCTAATTCCTATAGCATTAATGAATGCAGTGTACACCTACCGATCAGTGGAACCTTAATTCATCAAAACTTGAAATTAGGATCATAGTGAACAAACAGTTCCAAGAAATTCATCCCAAAAACAAAAAAAGTATCAGCCTTTTGACAAATCCGAGGAAGAAGAATTAACAAAAAATAAATAAATTCCAAACGCATAAAAGAAATGGGGGTTGAAAAAACTGAAAAAGTACATGGGAAGCTGCAACTGCTTGAGAGAATCCAAATTATGGGAATCGATTAGGGTTTTGACCTCTGTGGATATCTCTTCCGACGCCGTTTTGATTGATTCTTTCTCCCATTCCTCCATCACGTTCCTCTTCTCAATCTCAGTTGTGTGAGAGAGAGGGGTGTGAGAGAGAGAGCGAGGGAGGGAGGGAGACAGACGTCATACACAAACGATATTGGGCTTTTTACTAGTAATGGGCTTAATTTAATAATACCGGCCTTTAATCAAATGGTCGCCCTGACAAGTGACTGTGACAACCCATTATAGGCCCAAAAGTAAAGCCCAACAAAAAGAATTGTCATTATTCTCTTCTTATTTCATTTTTGTTTAGAATAAGGAAGTTCACCCTTATTAATCGATTGTAGTGGTTTTTTTTTTTTTTTTTTTTTTCTATACTTATTTTTATTTTAAAAACATTTTCATATACTTGAGGTCTTCAATCCTAACCAGGTAATTGTTGGGCACTGGTCACTACACCCACACTCAAACTTTCGATCAATGAACTATGTCTTGGGGCCGCAATAACGCCTACGAAGATAACACAATATATATTTTTTCACGTACATGTCTAGAAATAGACTTACAACTATACCTGCTTGTTTGAATGTTTCGTCACTGAGATACTTGTAATTTGCATGACAATGAATTTATTGGATTTGTGCCAAAAGTTGTGTATTTTTATATAAAAGTACATTGAGATTTAGATGACTGGGTAAGAAGTTTATTATTAACTAACACACAAATTAAAAAGAGAAAATTATTACAAATTTTGCTCGAACATACATAAGCAGCCGTTCTGAATAATCAGTACAACATAAGAAAACAATAATGGAAACTATAATGCTACAATATATGATGCTATAAAACTCCACAAAAATGTCTCTTTGAATGGATCATCATTATTCTGTATAATTGGCTCTGAACATGGTTCTGTGCTAGAGCTGCTGCAGCTTTTCCCCAACAGTTGCCCACAAAGTAAAGGGTTACCTTCATAACTGCTGTTGTCGAATGTTGAGAACTGCTCCTTGTCGGGTATTCTACCTGATAAATTGTTGAATGCCACAGAAAATTTTGACAGAAAGTTCAATTCTATCAAGTCTTGAGGTATTTGGCCATTCAATCTATTATGAGACAGGTCCAAACATTCTATCTGCTTTAAGTTGGAGAATGTAGTTGGGATAGAGCTTGTGAAGTGATTGTGTGATAAGTTCAAAGTGTGGATATCACTCAGTAACCCAATCTCTTGAGGAATTGGACCTGTAAAATTGTTGAAGGAAAGATCCATTCCAGACATGTACTTCAATATGCTTCCTTTGTATGATTCAG